GAAAAAAAACAATGAAAAAAGGCAAGAAAAAAATATTCCAAAGGAAACAAAAAGGTCGACAACTATTTTCAAAAAATATATAACAGAAAAATGCATCGTCTATAATCAATTCTGATCATCAAAAAAACATTGAAAAATAAGTGAAAATAAGTAAAAATAAAGAAAAAACACTTCTATGATAAGTTCATATAACTACTAATATCTTCATTAAGTGCCTAAAGTGAAAATATCTTCATTTTGTGGTCTTAGAACACAGGCTGTCATTTTTTCAACTACAAGTTTTACAGCGGTGTTGAATATGGAGTCGATTACCGATTCGGGCAGCGCAACAAGCTCTCAGACTACGAGGATCAAGTGAGCTCGGACCTGAATCGCATCCTTCGGCATCACATCGGAAAGGCTTCCGAACCTCAAAGTTTGCCATGTGATGATGCCGGATGGGTCCCAATCAATGATGTGCTTCAGAATGAAGCCATTTGGAGGCACGAAAAATTGAAGTGGCCTCATGCATACCTGATTCCCCGTGGGAAAGAAAGAGTTCAGGACAATTGGGACGAGCAAGAAGCAACGTTCAGGTTGCAGACGCTCTTCAAAATCATGTTCTACTGTGCCAGGTACGGTCGACGTGTCCGTGAACAGGTGCTCGCATTTGGTATCTTTCCCGACATTGATCGGAACAGTCCAACCTGTCGGTGTAACGGTGTATCGACCGCCACTGACATCCCTGCGGAAGGACTGATTCTGTATCCTGTCGCGGTGAGAGCCCCTACTGGGCATGGCGACGTTCGTGGAAACAATGACGTCGAGCTGAAGTCCACACTACTTTCACACCCATTGGCACCAAGCACAGTAGTGGCGATGCCGGTCTGCTTCCACATCACCTCCAGCCGAAACCTTCGAGGAATCTGGAAGGAGGGTCTAATCCCAGGAGGGTTGAACACCAGCTGGAGGATCTTCACATTTTTCAACCCGTATGCACCGTGGGATCCGAGATCGTGGAAAATCACGAAAAGCGTTGATACGCGAAAGGGAGGATACACTTGCCTCTACATTCCCACGGAGGTCCTGATGAACGAGTTCAACGGACGTTTAACTGATTCAGGACAGGTGGTGACAGACCAGATCATCCCATTCTCCAAGATCAAAGGCGGGTGGATTCAGAATTCCAGGACAGCATGGGATCGATTGATTGTGAAGACAGGAGACGAACAGGTCGTCCGCAGTGGACGAATACAGTCTTCTATCGTTGCGACCAAGGAGTCCCTGCTGCGATTGGCCAAGCAATGCTTGAGCGTGGAAGAGCAGCCCTTCGACGAGCTCACCATTGATGCCATGAGTCTCGTCGACAAGTTCGAAAACCACTTGATCCCTGAAGGTGGAAAAGAACAATACGAAGGGCGCATCAGGCTCGTGGATTACATACTCGAAAAGAAACCGGTCACAGAATCAGGGTGCCGGTATTGTCCTCACTGTCTCAAGGAGACGCCAACTGTCTTTGCCATCTGTTTGGCATGCTGGACAGCCCTCGAGAGTCATGGCTTCAAGCCATACAGAATCATCGAGGAAGAGGACGAGGAGGTAACCACGAAGCAGCAGCTTGATGAAGAAATCCGCCGAAGCAAAGAAACCATCTTCAAGGATGTTGTCCACGAGGCACAAGAAGGTGCTTCTCAAGACAACGATTATGGATTTGACCCGAGCGAGGTCGACTATGATGAGGAAGGCGACGAAGAGATGGACGAAGCAGAAGATGACGAAGAAGTCGTCGCCGATGATGAAGAGGAGGAAGAAGCCGGAGAGGCCGAGGCTGCCCCAGGGGTGGCCAAGATGCCCAAAGTGGGCATTGAACCTCGACGTTGGTAGCATCCGGTTGCCCGCTATGGGGATGATCAACACTGACTCATCCGAGGGCGCGGCACAACTCTTTGACAACGCCGTCTTGGCAAAGATCATGGGCATGTACAGGCACTACTACAGACAAAGGGTCCAAATGACACCTGAAGACTACCGAGCCGAAATGACAACCGGCCGCGTAGGAAGACTGGACCTCGATGGCATATGCCCATATACTGGCGAAGAGGATGACGGTGTACTTCGACGCCCCACCGAGGAGGAACTCGACGTGATGTTCCGTGCCAAGGCCAAGCAAGAAGAGTGGATGCAAGGAGAGATGATGTATGGGGGGCGCCCAAGGAATATGTTAATGACTGTGGTCAAAACATTGGAGATTTATGAAAAGCTCATGGAGCGACTGGTGCTCGCTGGGTTCAAACCTGAGGATTTCCAATTCCTTATTCCAATGAACAAAATGAAGGGGACCACTGAAGAAAAGAGTGAGATGAGAGCCAAAATGAGCAGCTTCCTATGCAGGCTATTGAAGAGTGCCTTCCCGAACTCAACGCAATACACCTACTTTCGAACTGGTGACCACGGGTTCGAGGATTGCATTGAAATTCCTGCATTTGCGGTCTACCTGTCCTACAGGGAACAAGAACGCCAATTGGAGCTGCTGGTGACAGCATCTCAATGCAACGTGAACCTCCCGCAAGCGTTCATCGGAAGGATTGCACATGCAATCAAACGTGCCGAACAAGAAGCTGCCAAAGGACATGTACGATGGATGGACCACATCGCACCAAACGTCGATCCAAAAGTCGTGCAAAATGTCTACAAGGCAATTGGGAGCACTGAGGGCGCAAAGAGAGCTATGGACGACGTCGCAAAGGCTGAGGCTCGTGCGTCTGAAGCCGAGGCCAAGTCAAGAGGCGGTCCAAAGGCCTATGGTCCTATAGATCACCTCCACCAAAGGTCGCACCCACAGCTGCTCCAAGCTACACAAGCTCATCATCGTCTGCTGCAGCCGGCCCCGCAAAGGCCAAACCTGCAGCAAAACAAATGCCAACATCGGCAAAATCATCTCGGCCTTCTCCCACGGACAAACCGCAACCAGCACCTCAATGGAAGAAGAAACGCACTGACTGATCCAAACCGGTAACGCTCAGCGAGCGCCCGGTACTGGTGAGGTCTGGGCACTATGTGGTGATCTCCGTCTTCATTGATGAGTATCACAAAGAATAACTGGTGAGAGGACTCTGAGCGAGGCCCTGTACAGGATTAGCTTAGTTGTTTTCTTTTCACCAAGTTCAATTCGAAATCACTATCCCAATTCGAAATTTCCAATCTTTTCTTTTGTACAAATGCCGGTAGCTAGCTGCGAAGCCAGTAACATTGTGGGGATTCCGATCCGGCAACACTCAGCGAGTGCCCGGTGAGGATGAACCACATCAGTAGCTAATTCAGGCACATGTACATCAGCGGAAAATTAATAAGTTCCCATCCTTCGTGTTCGGCAAATCCCCATAATGCCGAACATGGGGGGTGCAAATGGGGACTAGATGGGAATACAGTATACATACTTCCCATTGTACTTCAAGGGATTGACCGCCAAACGCAATGTTTGGCTCAAGTGCCCATATCAAGGAAAATCAATTGCGCTTCCGCTGCATGCCGTTGAAACGTTGGTAAACACAAACGCAAGGTATTCTGAAACGAGTTGAACCACATCCGGAACAGGGATCATTCTGTTCACATTAGCTATATATTGATACTACTGGAAAAGTACATATAGTTATTGGGATATAATCATTGGGATAACTATAGTAACTATATACTATATGGGATAGTTAATGTTTTGTTGATTAGTTTGGTGGGAATTGATTGCGATATTTTCTGTTAATTTCTTACTGTTTGCCGATCGGAACATCACCGTCTTCGTGATTAGGTACAGTTGCGCTGCCAGAGGGTAAACAACTGGGTAAACAACTCCAAATTAAACATAGACCATCATAGACCTCAAACATAAGATACATAAACTCGGGCTATGTATATATGTTAAGTCTGTTCAGCAACATATGTTTATTTGAATTGCCAGGGATAGATTGACAGAATAAACAACACATGTTTGCAGCTGGATTGCTGGGAACTGAGGACGACCTGGTGAACGGTAGCATAGCCAAGGTTATATGGGGCATATCCTCTTACATGACCCTTTCATAGGCCTTATATATGGTAGGTACCTCCAATTTATAGGTCTCTGAAATGGCCACTGGTGATTGTTTGATGATGATTTTTGGATATAGCACCAATCAAGAAACGTTTACGCTAACTGTTGAGATATGATCAATACTTGCTTGGGTTGTACTCCGGGGCACTGGTTTATTCAGCCCATATCAATCCACATCATATGACTGTGCGAAACAAAAGCTGATGATTAGGATTACAGTAGCTATGATCTGGTTGGATAGTTGGATTTTCTGCACTCAGACGAACCTGGGGACAGGGCGGGCAGGGAGGAGGTTTTACGTTTGGTGCTTTGTTTGCGGTTGCAGGCCGAATATGATATGACCCACTGTTGAATATTGGTCAGGTGACACTCCGGGGGCAAGAAAGGACTGAAAGTACTGGTTTGTTCATTCGATTTCCATACTGTATTTTGCTGTACAGGCTTCATATTTTTGTTCATATATTGTTCTACTGAAGGGCAAGTGGGCACATGTGTTGGCACACTTGTCACCATTTTGTGGTGGTTGGTGATGATGGCGTTGGGTTCTTTAAGTCATTTAATTGTGTAAGTGTGAGATGAAACGCGCCCAATTTGCAAAGACATTTGGTGAGGTACTACCAAGGATGCTTGAAGAGTGGAAAGATATGTATATTTACACACACACATATATATATATATACCAAGCATCAGCCATAATTCCAAGTCATCTAAGGAAAGTGGCTTTGTGGGCCCATTAGTGTCCGATGTTTCACCCATATACAAAAATACAATTTTCAAACCTGGGTAAACTGCCCATATTGGGGAATATTTAAGAAACCGTTAATGTAGATTTGTATGCCCTTGATAAGGATCCCCAGTATGGGATGTATATCAAGTTTTGACCATCGCTGGGGATGGACATGAGATGAGGCTCACCAAACTGAGCAACTAAGCCAAGGTGGGTGATCATCGTATCGTGGTCATCGGGACCTACTACCAGTGTAGCGTTGTTCAGGCACCTTGGATTAAAGCGAGCAGTGGCTGATCAGGCTTGAGATCATGTGATGAGGTCTACCGCCATTTCAACGGCTTGATGATAGATCAGAATGTGTAATTAATCGACTGGGTGGTGGTTTGGAACAGTTTTTTACTTTTCCATATATTGGGAATATCATCATCCCAACTGACGAACTCCATCATTTTTCAGAGGGGTAGGTCAACCAGCAACCAGATTATTAACCATTAATCATTATTAGCCATATTAACCCAACCATCATTAATCATACATATAGGAATTATTAGCACATTATTAACCACTATTAACCACTATTAATCACTATTAACCACTATTTGATCAATGGCGCTCGGTTGATGATGGAGGTCCCCCGACTGGGAGACGCTGGGATGGGCCAAGTACACCTCTCTTCACGGCCACTAAAAACCCTCTGGTGAACATACAAAAAGCTATGAGAAATCACCATTTTTTATGGGTAAATCAACTACAAATGGGCCATGTTCAACAGCAAACTGTAACAAATTACTAGAGGGTAACTCCCATCCCATCCCAATCACCCAGCACATCCCTTAAAGTTGGCACCCCAACCCATCGTGCCCCATCGTGCCAGGAGCTGGTGCATGGCCGCATGATGCAGGCGCAGCGCGCCGAGGGCAAGGAGCCCACCGGGGAGATCGCCGTGACGTTGTTCGTCCGCGCCGAGGCGGCCGGCGTCGTCATCGGCAAGCAGGGCTGGGTGCTGGGACGGGTGCGTCACGTGGCCGTAAACGGCGTGTGATAGGGGGCATGGGATGGGCATGGGATGGGATAGATTTTTTTAGAAATCGAATTTGACTGAAGTATGGGGCCTGAAATTATAGGTTATGATTATGGGTTGTGATGACTTATGAACGAATGATAACGAATATAAAAGTGATGTTTATTAAGTGGAGAAGTGTCAGCGAAGTGAGGAGTTGAAGTGTCTTGACTTTGGACACTGAGAAGTGATAAGTTGTTTGAGTTGAAAATTTGTTGGGAAGCGGGTCACTTTACATGTTTGGGAAAGAAGGAGATATATTTACATCTCACATCAGGTGGTGATGGTTGGATGATGGTAGTTGGATCTGCTTTTCTTAGGCAAGAAGCATCCACTTTTTTAAGGTCGGCCTTCCTCTGACTGCAAGCGTCTGAGGTAAGCAATCCGGTGCCAAGATCAACTTGCTACGGGAAGAAGTCCGCGGTCAAAGGCCTTGTATCATCGAGGGCTTTTTCCAGAACGTGCTTCAAGCTGAGCCTTGGGCCCGCCGAAGGGGGGCAGCTGCAATGTCCTGGACCCAAATCTGGCCCCAAGGGTCCCAAGGTCTGAAAGGTCTATGGAATGATGACATTGCAATGCATGTGATCATTGTGATCCTTTTTTTTGGGTCAGATGTCAAAGATATTAAAAAGTCGATGTCAAAGTTGAAATCCAATTATATATTTTCATTGAACGAAAAAGCCACTGCTTAAGTTAAACTGCAAGTTGTTATAATTTGTTAAATTTGTTATAGGCTATAACTGGTTAAACTAATGTTAGAGGTTAAACTATTGTATTTACATGCATTTACTAGTTTTACAACCATGTTTTTCTTCTTACTGGTTGAAATCCAAAGATATGTTTGCTAAACCATCCTCTTCACTTCTGAAACAATGTTCTTCCTGATAAAATTCAAGCTTCTACTTGTTTGAGTGCTCAAATCATCACCAACACTTTTTGGCGGCTAAAAAAGAAACATATTTTGGCCCAACAAATCCCCATATTCCAAGATTTGAAGGTGGGTGTTGCAGAACCCCCCTCTTCAATTTGGGAGCAAGGACCCGTTGGTTTGGGGATCAGTTTTCCCCTAAGCCAATCCATCAGCATCCCCACTATATCCACATGATATCCATCTTAACCTCATTTTGAATAGGTCCAACTCAGCAACTTAGCTAACAAGGGCATCACCTTGCGGTGTTCTCCCAACTTCTGGGGGTGATATGTCCCTTATACCCATGATATTCCTACAATATTCCCATGATATCCCCAAGCAGGATCCGTAGGATGATCCTCCAGGAGATCCCATTAAGATACCTCTCATAACCCCACTACAAGCCATCTCCTTGAAAATCCATAAGTTAATAAACCCTAGTTCTTGGAGTCATTAAACCACCACCATATAGCGAACCACGGGGGGCACCGGGCACCGCAGCCCAGGAGAAGCACATCTTCGACCTCGTCACCGCTGTCCCCGTGGTGACCTCTCCGCCGCCGCCGCCGCGCTGGCCGCCGCAGCCGCCCTCCTGCGTTCCGCAGGCGCCCAAGCTGTCGCGGACGCGGCTGAGCGCCGAGCCGTTGAACGGCGTGGTGGTGACACCTGGCGCGGTTGGGGGGGTGTACGGGCAACTGGCAAGAGATGGGTGGTTAACTTTTGATACTAATATATATATATGTGTGTGTGTTTAACTATCCAAAACCAAAAGACTCGGCAATTTACAAGGAATACACCCCTGAAATTTCATATGGAACCCATAAGTCGCTATTGAAAAATCATGAATAATCATGCTCCAAAGACTAGTCTTGGGGTTCCACGGGGGTTAGATATTGATATATATAACATGATATAACCCACCTCTTGTTGTGTTAGTTAACCCTTTTCTTGTTTGATGGTTTATACATACGCATAAGTTGCCCTGTCGAATAGAAAAGTCATGTTCGAAAACCTAGTTTTGGAGATCCATGTTCAATTTTGGGAGGCTAAGTACAAGCAAGAAGAGATGGCAGATGGTTAGCCCAGAAGATGGGTTCTAGGTTATCAAAGTTTTAGAGGGATACGAATAGCCAGGCATGTACTAAATTGTACCAACTCTGTATAAGAACATATTTGTGTATTTTGCCTAGTTCTTAGAGTCATAAATTGATGGGGCTTGGTTTTTTTTTAATGGCAATCAGCAAAGATGGGGTGAAACCCTGCAACTTTTTGTGGCAAATTTTGTGGAAGGCCACGATCCCAATGGATTTTCTGTTGGTTCCCTGTGGTTTTGCGCCCGGCGCCCGGCTAAGGACTTGGAAAGGTGCCATTGGATGGATTCAACCAGAGTACTTGGGCCTCTTTTTTTGGGACCTGCTTAGGGCGTCACAGCCTTGCCTCTATAGGGCCTTGCAAACATCACTTTTGGTGGTTAAACCATGGTTAGCCCTCCAAAAAACAAACATTTGAAGGGGACGTGTAGTATGAGAAACCGTCTCTTACTCCGGTGTTTCGCGAAGCCACCAACATGTGAGCTCATGTGTTGGATGCCACGGGTAGGTAGCACAAGTACCATTCCACTATATTCCACTTGTCATTGGAATTCCTGGGTGCCGACAAATTATGAAAAGCCAACCGGCTGACTGGCATCAGCCCTTGACACGGTCACCGTTGGGAGGGAGCAAGCCACTGGGGGCGCCCCTGATGAACACCAATTCATATGGAAACTACAGAGTTGGATCCTCGATTTGCTGGTTGGTGGTTTCAACAATTATATAATATCTTTTGTTCAAATAGAAATTGCCAGTTGTTTTTAACTGTTCTGATATTTCTTATATTGCTAAAGGGTAGTATTTCTTATATCTCTTATAACTATCCAACTGTTCAAACGTAAATCACCATCTGTTGGATAGTGATCCCCAGCCGAGGCAGCAGCTGAATCACCCCCGGGCCTTTTCGCGGCAGGGACAGGTCTACATTCACGTGGCTTTGGCGGCATCTCAGAGTGGGGGGGCTATTGCACAGAATGATTTGCTTGTCCTATTCCTGACATGGCTGAGAAATTTTATGCGATGATTTGAAACAGTTTCATAGTTTGTTCCTTAGCACTTATGATATACCCTCTGGTTATTTAACATAGCCATGGAACATGGCCCATAGAAATAGATGGTTTACCTAGTAAAAATGGTGATTTTCCATGGCTACTGTATGTTAAATAACCAGATGGTACACGCTGTATCCATTTCTTGCCATGATGCTGCTACCCTTTGTGTCGATGAATTGCACCATTCCTGCGCTGAGTATCACCAAGTAGTTATGTTCCAATTTCAACAATTCAATGCACTGGTTTCACAGTATCTCACCATTTTGGTGTTCAAACATCAACACATATCATCACTATAGACTATACCCTCTGGTAATTTAACGGAGCTATTGATAATGACCATTAATAGTGGATTTTCCCATAAAAAATTGTGATTTTCAATAGCTATGTTAAATTACCAGAGGGTAGATCCCCCTTTTTTGTGCAGAAAGAATCCACGACATTTCTGCAGACCCATCCCATCCAGGCGAAAGACGTGATCAACAACGAGCCGCTGACAGTGGGCCAAGCGGTGCGCTTTCATCTCTACGAGGATCGCGCAGGGCTCGGTGCGGAGCAATGCTATGCCATTGCCTGAGGCGCAGCTTACCGATGTGGACTACCGAGTTTACTACGGGGCAGTCTGAAGAAACACCCATGATGGTCACCAGACGGGGCAGTTTTTTTTTTTATGTCGGCCTAGTATTTTGGTAAATCACCAGTTTAATGTTGGTGTGTTTCAATTTTAAGTAATATGACTATACAAATATTTTGGGGGGCCCAGGGCCCCCCAGAATCAACGGAGTTTGTTGCTGGGGTGAAATTGCATATTCAAGTTTGAAAACCGGCTTGCCTTATGTTTTTTGATTTTGTTTGATCATAACAAACCAATCCCCCCACTATTCCTATCATTGAATTCCAAGATCTCTGATGAACCATGGCTTTCCCTGAGGAATGCCATGAGACCTGATTAAACCTGTGATTGCTTGAAACGGCCAGCAGTTTGTGACACACCTGTGGAAACCATCCCATGTGCTTCATATGAAGTTTCAGTATATCATGCCCCTAAGTGCCCCTAAGTCTCTAAGTGAATAGATCCTGGGTTGAACATGTGTTTCACCTGTTTTTCGCAAGATATTTTTTATCAGGATCAAGGTTGCAGTGGAAACAAGGTTTGCACATGTGTGCAATATGTTTGGGAAGTTGCGGCGGCAGCATTTCCTGCAATATATATGTATAACAATGCATATATATATATATATATATTTGTATATATATGTATACATATAGAAGAATGACAATAACCATAATAGTAATATGTACACGCATTGTTTGTATACATCCTGAACAATCATGTCACTTCAGCTACTCATCATTTTCCGTGCCATTGACCAACTTTCCAGGCGTACGGTCGCAGCGGTGCTGCCAACAGTTTCAGGGGGAAAAAGACGCCGGCGTTGAGTCCAGGTTTCTGGGGTGTTTCTGTAGTATGTAGCAATCCTCTAAAAGATATATAACTAACAACAATGGGATACAATGGGTATTATGTTGGTAATTTTCTATCACATATTGGAAATAATCATTAATAACCATGATAATTCTTTATCTACTATGATTTTCAAGAATATGTGCTGAATTATAATCATTGCATTTTGAAACTGCTTGGCAATCTAGCATGTTTTTTTCAAACATGGGGGTTGGTTAAATATATTTCACCAACCCCAACCAGGTCCATAGAAAAAGTTGGAAAACTGGAAAACATAGACAGAAACATCATGGAACTACCATCCTGGAGACACGTTTGGACATATTCTTGTTGGGTTGCTATATTGGTGATGTGCCTCAACGGGGCCCTAATGTGGACTCAATGTGCTACACTGGGGACTTTTCAGGGTGGCCAATGACTATAATGTGTTAAATTGGACGACAGCATTTATTTTTAAGACACCATTAACATATAGGATAGATAGGTTACTGTGTGACTTGCAATTCTTGCAGCCGGCTAGACATCAACTGCAGGGTATTAAAGATCAGCGTCCGTTTCATGTCTGGAAGCCAGATTCATTGGATGCAAGCGTTTCGGGGACCATGGTAAGCCTCCAATTTCAATCAATGTCAATGGCGCTATAGCCTATAGGGCCTAGATCAAACCTTCAAACGTTCAAAGCATGTTCTGATTCTGATGAGCATTGGAATTAACGAAAGAACCAGTTTTTTAATGACTTTAGCCTTCAGAGCATTTCAAATCTTCGTAAATCTTCCATTGAATTGGTAAATTTCCTGGTGATAAAACCGTCAAGCCCATATATCATTCTAAATTCGTTCCACCCTCCAATAGACGAAAAGATATGAAACCGAACCAGAAGAGTTCGATCAACCTAGCAAAACCATAGGTTTCCCAATGGATTTCAATAGGAATCCATAGGTTTCCCATGGTTTTCCCATGGGATTTCCCATGGCTTCCCCTTCACCGGTGCCAGGTGCAGGTCCATCCTGGTGGGTCGAACCGACCTCACTGGCAGCGATGCTGGAAGTCTGCCAGGGGCACCTGGTAAGTCCCTGGGAAAACGTGGGTTTTTTCCATGTTTTTCCCATCTATAATGATATATATCTGGGTAAATTATAACGACCTCACTGCGACCTCACTGGGAATCATGGTTAGTATTGGAAATCATCCCCAAATGGCCTTATTTCAGGTTAGTGAATTATTATAATTTACCCAGATATATATATATATGGGATAACCATGGATGATGATTATTGACTATATCAATATTGGGATAATAATATCATGTATTATTATTCCATTTAACCAGTAATATCCATTAACCATCATATTATTATATAATCTGGTTGGTAGTTTCAAACATGACTGGATGATTTTCCATTTCATATATGGGATATATAATCCTTCCCATTGACGAACTCATATTTTTCAAGATGGTTAAAACCACCAACCAGACAATCTATGGTAATAATCTATAATCTAGATCATTAACCATATTACTTGTTATAACTATGGCTGGGAATCCTTTAAAAGTACAAAGCACCATACCAGTGAGTGGTTGGCAACTGGTGAAGGGAGTCACGAGGTGAAATTGGGGTTCAGTTGGGGTTATGTTCATTAATAGAACAGCTATGGTAAGAACCTCCAGAAGTTGGGATATGGGGCCCCTACAACTATGGTGAAGATATTGCTGGATGGGATGTCGATGGTGATGTTAATGGGATTTGATTGAATAACCAACAATAGGGATAATGGGAATATCATTCTGGATAATTTTTACTGACACCACGCATGGCTAGTAGCCGGATATTTAAGGGATACCCTCTGTTAATCAAAAATGGCATGGGATATCCCCGAGCCTTATGGAGGTTTCAATGGGAAAATCATCCATAAAGGGCAGAATTGTCCATTGCGATATTCGATTACTGGAAGGTAGCAAAGAGAAAATGCCAGAGAGAGAGAGAGAGAGAGAGAGAGAGGGAAATGTTGGGTTTGTTGGGAATGAAGTGGTTTAATTGATTTGCTGCAACTGTGGGACAATCACACAGGGTAAATATGCCACAATTACGCATGTTGGGATAATCATATTATATTATCATGGGACAATGGTGATAATAACACATATGGAGATAAACATGCCACTAAGCGAATGAGGAGAGAATTACTCACATGGTAATCGATGTAAAACAATCTCAAATCAGGGTAATTGGAGTTTATTGCTGGGTAATAAGGGTATAATAATGAGGTCCTAATCGCAATTTCATAAACGAACCGTCCCCAATTAGGGTTTATGAAATCGGGTATGCCCCAGGTCCAATGGGTTGTTTATTGTGACCTCCACGTGTGGTTGGTTGCTGAGACATTTGAGCAAGCTTACAGCGTTGGGGTTGACACATAAAACTAGTTCCACGATTTGATATTTTGATATATTTTGATATGATAAATTATGATAATCTTCCCCAAAAACACCATTAACAAAAATCCATGATTTTACGACCAAGACCAGCACCCCAGCCCACTGTATCCGCAGCCTTTCAAGGTGGCATTGTGGTGGCGAAAGCAGCTCGGGTGGGATCTCAGAATGGACGTCGATATGGACGTCGATATGGGGGTGCGAGACCACTAAGTGGTGAAGAACCCATACTAACAGGTAACTTCTGGGAATGTTCCACATATAATTGGGGAATGATATGGCATTAACAACCATACTAAGTGATAATATTTGGGGATATGTTGTAGAGACATGGATGGTGAAACACTCAGAGGAATTTTGGAATAACACCAAGTTGACGACGACTGACTTCACAACTTCAAACAGAAAGTGGATGTGGGATGATGTGGGCCATATGGGTCAAAGGGATCCCATCGGGATAGTACTGCTTGGGCGACGACCGAAGCCTCGCCTTCCGAGGTCCTGTGCTATTGGACCAGTGTTCTGTGTTTCTTGGCCGCGGCTGACCCATTTTCACCAGCTGATAAGACAAGGCCTAACGCTATTTTTTCTTATAACAAGACCATACTGGATGCTCACCAAGTACTTGAACAGGGGACGTGGCCCACCAAGAAGGACCCAGGAGCACCACCAGAATGCCTCCATGAGAAATGTCGGGAAGATGAACCAAATTTGAACGCGTGGTGTTGCCCATCTCAGGAATACATGTTCTATTTTCCAGAGGTCGTTCCTGCACTTTGTCCTTTCGAGTCGGGGTTTTGTAACATTTTGTAACCCTCTTTTTGGGCATCTGTATTTCTTTCCACTCAAGGGTTGATCCCTTATTTAAACCCCAAGAGTGGTATGGTGAATTGCTGATGGTGAACCTCCTGGCTGCTTGGAAAACTACTGGGACGATGGGTCTGCCCGAAGGGGGGCAAACCCCTTCTACAGTGCAGGTAATTCACTATAGCCATGAACATTCCAGATGATCTAGCATCACCTACCCATTATTTCCACGATCATTTCCATGATTACCAGAGACTACACCCAAAAAATAAATAATTAAATACCTGCCTAAAATATTATCCAAACCATACTGAAGAATCTTTTAGATAGTTTTAGGATCTTTTAGGGGTCCCCATTCCATAGTTTTCGGATGTTTTGGGCAGGGCCCATCTGCCCCAACGATTACCGAGGTCTGGCAGCCTGGCTCCGAATGGTGGCCAGGTGGCATCCCCCGCGGTGCTCGCGTCGGTGCGCTGCGGGCTGGGATCGGTGGAAATGCGCCATGGTTTCTTGGGGAGGTGAAATCCAGTGCTGTGGTAAACACATTTTCTTTTAACAGTATGATATGATAAGAAGAAGAATAGAACCCTCCCCCCCCAAAAAATAATAATAACATCTGATAAGAAGAATAGTGATAAATGTTTAACCATGGTAAGGATAATGATGATAGACGAGGGATAATAATAATTAGTAAGAATCAATATTATAGTATAAACCGTCCCCAACGCCATAAACAAGTACCATTTGGGGATGGTTGAAATCGAACCTACAAAAGGGTGATTTTGGGGATGGTTTATGGCATGGGGTTTGCCACGATCCTTTGGTTTTCAGCCGAGTCAACTGGGTTGGTTGGGTTGGTTGGTCTGGTTGGGCGGTTGAGACCATATTAACCAATAAGATATTGTTTTGTATCCAGGCTAGCAGCCCCGGCCATCAGTTTTCAAAACGTTGGTCTTGACATGAGAAGATCCCACAATTCCTGCACTTGTTTCCATGGTGTTGGTTTGCTGACCTTTCCATCAGCTCCTTCATTACTGAATTTGAATTTGGACAAAGTTCAGGCATCAAATCCAGTAAAGCAAAAGAAAGAGCAGCATGTTACATGCAACGCATACATGTCAATCTTGCAGCATCCTCACTTTGGGATACTACAACTTGAGACGCCAAGCCCCTGTATGGATAGGCTTACGCCATGCTCACTCTGCCTGGGCGTCCCAGCCTTGCCGATGCCTAGGGAAAACCGCTTCTTAGATTGGCCATGGAGTACCATGGAGTAGCATCCTATCAAAGCTGGAAAATCCACAATTTACAGATCATTTCCCCATTGAACCTTCCATTATCTTCCATTGTTTAGGGATGTTTAGGGGATTTTACAGTGCCATGTTTCAGTACCATAGGGTAAGATAAGTGGCAAGTGCATTATATTTCTACAGATATAAGCCCACACTATATCAAGCTATCAGGGGATAAAGCTTCGAGAAAACCCAGTGACTAAGCAGTTCACTATCTCCATGGCGGCCCTTCACGTAGAGCTTTCCATTCCCAGTTGCATATTGGTCGAAATTCAAGTCCTCGTGACCCATAAGGTTTAAAACCGCACACATCCCATTCGTTGTTTTCACTCCTTTGACCAATCCCAAGTTGTGGAAGGTTTGGGTGACGATGGGTAATTTCTTTTCAGCGAATTGGGTGCCCAAGATGATTCCGTCAACTGA